TCACTTACTCCCATAAGACCACACACATAACACTGAAGAATCATTCATTTGTGCTGCAAGAGAACAATGGAAGTAGGAACTTTAATTAATTGTATATGAGACGGTACCTTAATGAGATCACTCAGGAATTATCCAGGTATTAAGCCAGGTTTGATTACAGCCTCCAGAATTATAGTGAGGCATTTCAAAAATCAAACATTTATACTGAAGGTAATCCGTTTGTCTTTCAAGTTCAGTGGATAAAGTTGATTTCTGTTTGTGTTTCCAAACCTAGAAACTGTAGTAACTTCAGAAGATGCCCTTTAATTTATCTGCAAACCCACGAGAAACAGATTATTAAATAACCAGTATGATCATGACGAATGATTACAGCAAATCAAACACGTCTTACTGTTCATATGGGAGCCCTGACTTCTTAGAATTACATTCCTATCAGAAAAGGTGGATGTATCCTGAGGCTCAGGAAAGTGATGTTAAAGTTACTAAAAACCTGCATTGTTTCTAGCAGCCAGCAGGGGGCGACTCCTCTGGCTGTATAGAGTCAGATTGTATAGAAGTCTATGAGAAAATGACAACACTTCTCACTTGATTTGTTACCTCATTGAACATTTTCCAAATCAGTTAATGGTCTCAATGTCTAGATTCAAGGCTACAGCATGATGTTCATTTTGTAAATTATGGTTTAGAGGAAAAAGATGATAAAGCAGAATATCTGTTCTTATAGTTTCCCCAAGTTCTCAATCAGATCCACCCCTCCTCATCTCGTTTGGTTCCAAACGTCAGAACAAACCAATGAGTGGCGTTACGTCCATCTTTTATAAACATTATACACACAAACATATCGAAGTTCTTTTGTCGCGTTTACATTTTCTTTTGTATGTTTCTGTCACTATCATGTGTTAAATGAGGTGGGACTCGTCACCATGGTTACCCAGAAAATCAAGTAGAGCTTTAGACGTGTTGTAAAAGGCTCTTATTTCAACCCATCCATTAGCTCCACACCGCCAGTATATTATCGATACATGCAGACTCCACACAGAAAGACTCCAGGCCTGGGATCTGCTAGTTGTGAGGCTGTTGGTGCTAACCACTGAGCCTGTTCAGCCCATTCCTTTAACCTAAACTTAATAATTATGGACCCACACAGGACATGAACCTCGGTCTTGTGGATCTTGTGTCGAACTAATGCCACCACCAACCCTCCAATCTCCAACTGTGAAATGTGCAGCTCTTGCTTTGCAACCAAACACCTTTTCTAGAGAAAACATGCTTTTCTCACATTGTATTTGAGCATACTGTTCAGTGTTATAGGAAGATCGTTTTGTGGAGACTCGGTTGCATATGTGCATGTGGTTGTTGTTTTAAGACAACAAAGGCAAACGGCTCCTCGTCAACCCTGGATGTCAGTATCCCAGAATCCAGTGGGAAACCATTGTAGCATCTGTCTTGTTGGCATCTCTACATAATCACGTCTAAATAAAGGCACTAGAAGAAAAAATAAATACATTTTAAAAAGAAGAAATTTGGAAGATGGGACTTCTGTTTTTTTTTTTTTGGCTTAAAATGAAAAAACAGGTCTGCAAGGTGGTGCAGTTGGTAGCACTGTTGCCTCGCAGCAAGAAGGTTGCTGGTTCGCGTCCCGGTGGGGGCACCGAGATCTTTCTGCGTGGAGTTTGCATGTTCTCCCCGTGCAGCGTGGGTTCTCTCCGGGTTCTCCGGCTTCTTCCCACACAGTCCAAAAACATGTTGAGGTTAATTGGTGATTCTAAATTGTCCGTAGGTGTGAATGTGAGTGTGCTTGGTTGTCTGTCTCTAAGTGTAGCCCTGTGATAGACTGGTTACCTGTCCAGGTGAACCTGCCTTCACCCTGAGTCAGCTGGGATAGACTCCAGCGGTGTATAGATGATGGATGGAGGGAAATGAAAAACCAAAGTGCCAGCTTAGATTTCACTCATAGCATGTCATGTAAATATGACAAGTCTCATTTTATTGTGGACTCACTTCTGTAAGTGCTTCCTGTTTTTAGCTGTTTTCTTCTGCTGCATTGTTATTTATACAACCAGTCTGGGCACACATCCATCAAAGCATTTTTGAATTATTTAACTCCTTCCAATCATAATCTCACACACATATGTGCTGTCTGTCTCCAGCCTACGAACAGAGATCAGAACAAATCTTTGATGTTCTTTAATGTTTTCTGCTCCAGACACACAAATAACTGGAAATCCCAGGTTGAATTGAAGGATATTCAAAACTTTTTGATAAATTATCCCTTTGAAAAATGTTCTTATTTTAGCTCTCTTAATGCTGACTATTGTTGTGTAACTTTCTTTTATTTGTAAATTCGTACATTCCCACTTGGGTCTTCTTTCAGACATGCTGTATGTAACTTTGCCGCTATGGAATCACAGGAGTGCCATAATAAAAAAATAAAGCTGTAAAAAAAAAATTTAAAAAAGGAAATAAATGTGTAAATATAAGAGGAATAAATAAATGAATGCATTTTTAAAAATATGGAAATACAAATGCAAATTTTGTCTTTGCATTTCCCAAGGAAACAACAATGACAAAAAAGAAAAGCAAAAGGAAAAGCAAAAGGAAAAAGCAAATACAAAATTTACCTTTATGTTTCCATGTATTTTTATTGATTCTTTTATTTATTCCTCTTAATATTTAAACATTCGGTTCTTTATTTTTAAACAGATTTATTTATTATTATGGCACTCCTGTGATTCCACATGTTGCTTCATCAATCTGTTAAAGTCACACCATTCTGTCATTCAGATGAAAGGATGCTTTATGTTCACCTTCCTCCCTGCTTTAATTAGACACCACAGTGATGGAGAGAGCATGATTTTTGTCTTACACATGAGATTGGACAGAACATCATGTGATCTATAACGTATTATAATGCACTAATAAACATGTCTTCATGTCGGGGATAATTATTAAAGTTATGCACACAACTCTCTGTCTCTGTCTGCTCATATGGATCTTGCTGCTGTCTGATGCTGCAGGTATTTGATCAACTTAGCAGAAACTCCTACAAACCCCTGGAAGCAACAAATTAAACTTCAGCTCCTGTTAAAACTTTAACACAACCTGGATTACATTCATTCTTTGTGAGTGTCTCCTGTTGCAGATTCTGTCTTTATCACAGTAACATTTTATTTTCATGGACATTTCAAAATGAAAAAGAGGGTTTGTGATCTTGACAAACAAACTGTGTCTTTTTGCTCTCTGTGGTGCTTTTGTCTGCTGCTGCAGACAAAGACAAAAGGCGCTAGTAGACCTCGACTTCGCCGATGATATAGTTCTTCTTTCAGATGACGTTGCCAAGGCTCAAACATTGCTCACGCCGGTAGAGAGAGAGTGTCTGAAAATTGGCCTTGCGTCAAATGCTAAGAAGACTGAGGTGATCTCCATAAATTTGCCACTGACCGCGCTGCAGTCAGTAAATAGTATGCCTCTTGAGACGGTGGACGACTTTAAGTATCTAGACTCTTGGGTAAACAGCACAAACCAGGATATCAGGGTGCACAAGGCGATGGCTTGGAAAGCGCTGAGCGGTACGAGTGTGGTGTGGAGATCAAGCCTTTCGATAGAGCTCAAGATCAGATTCTTCCAGGCGACAGTTGAGTCCATTTTCCTGTACGGTAGCGAATGCTGGTGTAGCGCATGTGGGCTATATGACTGACTGCGGCTACAATTAGCAGCAACAGAGACCTAGTTCTTTTAAGGAGCCTGGATTGTGAATGAAACACAGGAGGCAGTAGTGCCGTTTGAATATGATATGTATTAACAAAAGAAAAGCTCTTCACAACATAAATAGCCAATACACCGAATACACCATTTCAAATAAAGAAAACATTTTTGAGGTGAAGTTTTTGCTACCGACTCTGGTGGAAACAGCGCTTAATGAGTGATTACACGGACAATATATGATATAAAATCTGTCGGCAAAAGACTTACCAGTGATCGACAGATTCCACAGCAATCAACTAATCAAGATGCCAACAGGAACAACGCCACAGTCACAGTGGAGACGGAGCAGGAAGTGAACTCTATGACCCACATTTAAAGGAAGTCTGAGGTCACAGAAAATTGACCCGGAAATAAATAAAATAAATAACCAAATAAATAAATAACTAAATGCGGGTTACACTGATCCCTCAATACATCACTGGAGAAGTCTCTTGATGGTACATATAGCAGCATGCTCCGGGCTGTTCAAGACATCAACTGGCGGGACCATGTTTCTAACATCACACTCTATGGTGACCTGCCACGCATCACAGATCGTATCGCCCGGAGGAGACTTGGCATTGCCAGCCACTGTTGCCTCCATAGGGAGCTTCCCGCCAGCCAGCTCGTTCTTTGGGAGCCATCCCACGGCTGGCGGAAGCTGGGAAGACCTGCCACCACCTTCCTGGACACCCTAAAGGGGGATACTGGTTCGACCACTTCAGCCGAGCTCTCCGCATGCATGACCAACAGGATGGATGGAAGCAAAGACGTGAAGCTCGGCTGAGGCCGCCATGATGATGATGGGCTTTGTGTTAATATTGGTACTGAAATGTGGAAATATTTTTTCCTTAATTGCTTCGCACAACTGGAAGTGTGTTGTTTGTGTGTGCCCTTAGGTCAATGCGATCGCATGCGGTTCTTACTTATGCTGGGTTAAAAGTTCCAGGTTCAGATGCTCTCAGATGAATAGAAAGGAGTGTGAATGTTGTGGCATCCTGTCTGAAACCTGTACAGTCATGACCTGGTTCCCTTTGAAAAGGAGACACTAAGCTCATCGGGAGAACAAAATGTCTTGTAAGAGTGTCGACTCCTGTAAGTGAGAAATGATGTAAAGATGCATTTGCTGCACTTCACAAAGCTTTTCTGTAAAGTCAGTATCATACAAACTCACTCCTTAACATGTACCACAGTGTATTTTTATGCCTGTCTGCACATGTTCATCTCCGTTGTGTGTCTCCTGTCTCAGTGTAACCATGGTGAAGGAGAATCTGCCCAGCTGGGTCCACCAGGACTCAGACGAGGGTCTCGTCCACGTGAATGTTGGAGGTCTGAAGAGGAGTCTCTGTTCCAGCACGCTGAAGAAATTCCCAGACACCAGACTGGGAAAGCTGCTGGCATGTGATTCAGAGGAAGATATACTGCAGGTGGGTGACAGCATGAGGTCTGCCATCATTTTGCACCAAGATGTTAGTTTTTGATTTAGGTTTTGGTTCCAAAGACAATAAATAAATGGGTCATTTTGTCTTGAGACGCTATGAAACATTCATGTTCCTCTCTCGTATGGCTTTTTTCTCCTTCATTTAATCTTCCTCATCTTCACCCGTCTTCATTTCTCAACCTCCCCTCCTGTCTTTCTCTCCTCTGTAGGTGTGTGATGACTATGATGTGCATCAGAAGGAGTTTTATTTTGACAGGAATCCCGGCCTGTTTCCTTATGTCCTCCACTTTTACCAGACTGGCAAGCTTCACATCATGGAGGAGCTGTGTGTCTTCTCCTTCAGGTCTCCTTCCCTCTTTTACCCACTAAATTCAGACACTAGGTGACAACATCAGAATATAACAGAATCTATATATATGGATCTATGGTTTCCATGGTAGATTCAGTGGTTGTATGAGCTCGTAATTCATTTTTTGAGAGTAAATGCCCCAGATCTGCCCTTACATGAGGTACTGTTGCATCTAGTAGTAACATTATCGTGGGTTTTTTTTTTTAACATAAGTCTTGTGTTCCTAATTATGCTTTTACTAGGGAAGACACATGCACGTGTTCTTCTAGTTGAGGTGAGCGACTAACAGTCATCACTTCACACCCTCCTTGCTCAACAGATTTGGGTCCCTGCGATGTCTTTCTCTTCCCCAGAGTCTCTGTTTTGACACATTCATTACAAATGCTGCTCGACACGCTTACAGAACAGGACTTCCAGGCAGCGTTTACAAGTAATGCAGGAGCACTGGGAGCAGTGTGTGGTTGCACAAGGAGACTACATCAGAGTTTTACATTTTTATAGGGACACTCTCACGAGCTTTTTGTTACAACTTGTACTTCAAAAAAAAAAGTAGCTGCTCAAGGACTTGTGTCTGTTGTTTGCTTCTCTGATTTGAAAGCCTTAAACAGACAAAGATAAATTAACTTAGCAATAATTGTCCAGAACAAGAGGAAACAAACAACGTCAATCCGGTTATTATCATTTTAACAGGATTTATTTAGATGGTGGAGCCTGGTGGATTGTCTTCTACCATTTCTACTTTTCCGTCCTTGATTTATATTTCTGTTCGTCTGTAACTGGTGCACAAACCAACTCAGTTTGATTTCTGTTTCCCACTCAGTCAGGAGATTGAGTACTGGGGCATCAATGAGTTCTTCCTGGACAGCTGCTGTAGCTACCGTTACCACGACCGCAAGCTGGAGAGCAGCCGGCATCGCAGCTGGGACGACGAGAGCGACGTCAGCAGCATAGACACGTCTGTGGACGAGATATCGGACTTAAACAGGTAAAACAATCCATCCGGGCCTGGGTGAAGAAAGGATTCTGACTGTCAGTAATGAACTCGTCATCTTGCTCCATCGCCGCAGGGACATGCAGCATTTCCAGGAGGTGCGTTTTGGGAACATCAGGAAGTGTTTGTGGCTGACGCTGGAGAACCCGGGATACTCCATCCCCAGCAAGCTCTTCAGTCTGCTCTCCATCGGAGTGGTGCTCACGTCCATCGCCACCATGTGCATCAACAGCATCCCAGAGTACCAGGTTGGTGCAGGGAGCAGCAGAAAGGCTGAGGCCAAACTGTATTGTTGTATTTGGACGCCTGCTTTGGGCTCCTGGAGCACATGGAGTAAGCATTTCATTTTTAGCACCAAAAATTGTCCTGCTCCTCAGAATTCCCATCATCAGAAGCTCCATCTTAAGTCTTCAGTTGCCGTATCTGATTTGCTTGAAACTTTTTTTTTTTTATATCATAAACTATGGATGATTTAAATGGAATCTGTATTTTAGGAGGATTACATGGATTTTGACATCTGGGTTCGGATAAGAAGGCAAAGGCACGGCCCGTGACTAGAAGGAGTGAAATCAAAGACATTGTTTAAGGTTACAAGGTTACCAAAAAGTCAAAAAAATGACATCCTGTCATTCCCACACTTTTTCTTTACTTTATGGAAAACAACTGAAAACAAAATCCAGTAAAGATGAGATGTAGAATTCATAAGACAATCTAACTTACACCAGGCTACCTAATCATGGGATGATTGATGTTGTTGCCGTGGGTCTGCCATTAGTGTCGATCACTTTGAATCACAGAATGTAAATAAAAGATGAACGCATCCTCTTTTGGTTGCATAAAGAATCTGATTGTATGGAGAAAATGACCCTACTGGATTGATTGCACGTTAGATCATCTTACATTCACTAATACAACCTATAAATAGCCTGCAAAAGAAACAAATCCTGTTCCCTGCTTGGTTTGTATGGTGTCCATGCAGAAAAAAAGAAAAGACAAGCCCCAACCAAATCCAAAACCCATGCAAGGTTAAAAACAAATGCAGGAGTTAGAATGCTGGAAGGCGACAACGTGAACATAGCGTGACCAATGGATAGTGGGAGTGATGAGCAGAGTGGAAACAGGTGAGCAGAGCAACGAGGAAGATGAAGGTCCTGCAGCCGGCGGGAGAACAGGGCAGCTCATGGGAACGCAGCGACCAGACTGAATAAATGACTCAATCAGTCAGTGATAAAAACTCCTGAACTCTGACCTTTGAGTCTGTTTTATTCTCAGACGTAAACTCTTTATTTCCTTCTAAAAATCTTGATGGCTGAGCACATTACTGATTTTCATTTAAGTTCAGTCATCCCAGATGTCTTAATACCAGCTGTGAGAAAAATATATCATCAGTAAAGAGCTGGTGCCAAAGAAAAGTTCATGAAACAGTTGTTGATCTGAGTCTTTCTCCTGTTTCCTCTCAGACTTTCGACTCTGATGGACAGCTGGTGGAGGATCCCACCATGCAGACTCTGGAGGTGTTCTGCACCTGCTGGTTCACCTTCGAGGTGAGAAGGGAAATAAAAAAAAAAACAAAGCATGCTGAAGGAAAATCAGTGAAAACGGAGGAGACACTTTGCAACGCTGAGTATTTTTCATCTCTTTGAGGTTGTGACGCGGCTGCTGCTCGCACCGAACAGGAAGAAGTTCTTTCAGCACCCTCTGAACATTATCGACATGGTGTCTGTGGTTCCCATCTACATCACCCTGGTCTTCGACATGACGGTGGGATCCGAGTCTGAACTGGGAGACCTGGGGCGACTCATACAGGTCAGACTGGAGCGCAGACCTGAGTCAGTGTGGGTGGTTTCTGTCTGATGAAATGTTTAACCCTGTGAAACCGTGTCGTGGAAGTTTGCTGTAATTGTTGAACTTAGAAAACCTGAAACGCTTTGCTGGGTTGATGGCAGATTTAATATTGTAAACAGTACGGGGAATGACACAGATCGTCCAGATTCTTAAAGGAGAGGCACAAACGTAACGGCTTTAACAGTGAACAGAGAATCAGAAAGGCCTTTTATCTGGACAGTTTGTAAGCTTAACCCTGTGATCCATCCTGCGTACTAAATGCTGAGTGTAATTTTCCAAAGACAAAAAGCCTTGTAAAGGTGTAAATAGATCATCTGATTTGTACCTACACGCTGAGCTAGCTGCAAGTCAGCAATAAAGATTCATGAGCAGAAAACTGATTTGTTTTCACAGCCCAAATATAGAAAGAAAGGAGCAACTTTTTTCATCTCTCAGATGTTGGTGTAGGAGCCTCTGGTGCACAAATTATAGGATTTTCGCAACGTTGGCCCTCATTGGGAGCAGAGTTTCTGTACCTGTCTTCACATTATCTGAACAGTAAAGGTTCATTTGCAGGGTTGATCGCTAATGTTGCCTCATAACGGTATGTATCATGAAAAGTAAGAACAATAAGAAGAACAGTAGAATAGTTTGACAATTATAAAGACTGGATTATATTGTATTTTAATTTGACTGAACTGTGTTTTAGTTCCGGTGTTCAGCCATCCTTTGCAGTGACAGTGATGGAGGCTCTACAGCTGGCCTCTGTTTTACTGGTGCTCCATTCTGAAATGGGAAAAGTAGGATTTTCCAGGCTGGATGTTTCTCAGTGCAAATGACTCCTAACTCGAGCTGAATGCTTTTGGGAAAAGATTGAAGTTTTTGCTATTGAGATTAGATTTTTCCGGCTTCAGTTCAATACGCAGAATTCACACAAGAAGGAGAGCAGAAAGTTTAAACCCAGTGTCAGACGTGCTGCATGACTTTTACACTAAACTACAGTTAATTCCATTGTTTCAAATAGAAAATACGATATTTTCAGTCTTCCTTTTTAGTGCTTCTCTCCTGTTCTTTGGTCTTTTTGTTGTGCACATGTAGAGCCTCTATGTCCACAAACAGTGAGTCTTATAAATAAAGTTTTAAAAAGGATTCCAGGAACCCTTATATCCGAGTAAGTCTTGTTTTATCAGACTTCTCTTGTAGATTAGTGATGCAGTGTGACTATTGCACATGCGCACGTTGCAGTGTTGACGCTGAAAGTCTATGTGGAGCAGGTGTTGGTATTTGAGGATCAAATCTCTAAAACCTTTCCCCTTCCAAGGTCACGGTTCTCCATTAACATCACACACAAACACCTTCACTATGCTGGCATCTATTAAAGGAAAAAGAAAAATCGAAAACATTTTAATTTTGTCAGATTAATTTTATGGACTGACAGTAGAGCTGTCCTGGAGCCTCCGCTAGCAGGGTCCTCACAGTGGAGCCATTTTTAAAACCAGCCTGTGTGCTGAACTCGTCTCTGAACACCACTTTTAAGAAGGATTAGGAGAAGCATCGCTAAAGTGACGAACCGTCTCTTTTAAAACGTTTTTCCTGACGCTCTGCTCTCTCAGGTGTTCAGGCTGATGAGGATCTTCAGGGTGCTGAAGCTGGCCCGCCACTCCACAGGCCTGCGGTCTCTGGGGGCGACGCTCCGGGTGAGTCGGGACGCCGTCGGCTCCCTCAGACACGGCGCTGCAACATTTCTGACACACGGTGACATTAACCAAACAGTATGTAGAAACAGCGCCATTGATTTTTAAGCTTGCTGCTTTGTGACATTTTGTTCTGTTGACCTTTCTGTGGATGCATCAGATAAAGGTTGATGGATTGTGAGCGGATCTCAGTCGATGTGTCGCACATATTTAACAGTGGAAAAGCCATCAATGTTGAGGATGTGGTTTTGATTTTTTGGTGATTTGCGACAGGGTTCGGGCTTTTGTTTTGGAGCCGCATGGTGTGACGGCAAAATATAAACCTGAAACAAACAGTCGCACATTGAGCCACAAGTTAATGAAAGATGTGACTTTATGCCAGGAGATAAAACCACTGATGAAACCAGTATCAATTTTGTAATCACATTTTTTATTTATAGACTCTCTCGTCCTACACACCACCTACAGTAGAGTTTCATTAAGTTACTGTGACATTATGAGGCTGCAGAACTTTTTTCATTGTGCAGCTTTGAAACAGAGAAACAAGAAAAAGTTGTGTTTGGTGTTTTTCGCCACCGAGCCCAGTGGAGAGGAGCTGGGAGTCGCTGGATGTATATCGCCTGCCTGCTCATTAGCTGCATGTACACAACACAAATAAAAGCCGCTCTTTAAAGCTTTTCTCCACAGCGCTACAAATGGTCAAAAGCTCCACAGGGAGCCTTTAAGTTTGTGTTCCTGTATCCAGCTTTTTCCTGGCTGTTGTGTTTCCTTATTTTATTTTCACTGTATTAAACCATTTCTCTGTGAAGCGCTTTAACGCCGTGTCTAATCACTGATGATGCTGGTGCAACATAGCTGCAGAGGAATATTGAAATGGCTGTAAAAAGATGACAGCATGCTGTTTGATCAGGTCCACAGGTGATTTAATTCCCTTTAAGCAGGAAAAACTTTGAGCGACTTGAAATGTGAAAAATGTGAAAAAAATGAATGAATAAGCATATGTGAGAAAAAATATATAATATATATGTATATAATATTTTTTATATTTTTTCTCACATGTTTATTCATTCATTTTTTGTAAAAATATTTTTCTATACATGATTGCATACATTACAAAGTACTGTTTACTGCTGTCAATCTCGTTTTGGTGACTGTCGCTATATTCTATTGGCTCTAACAATTCGAAGGTGGTGTCAATCACTAAAACCGACCAATCATTATGGAGATGCAGCCTTGCGTCACCACAGGAGCTTCACAGCAGCTTGATCAGCACCATGCACAGGATGCGTAACAGCGGTCTGGTTGAGTGTTCAAAAAACAAAAAAAACTGCTGTATGTGGATGTATTGAACGCCATCAGTGATATACAAGTGAAATATTTAGTTTGGGGCTGCAGGGTGGCGCAGTTGGTAGCACTGTTGCCTCGC